CCACTACAGTCTTTACTGTTGTTTGATTTGAGAGCACCTTCTCAGCCTGCTGCTCTACACAGTAGTAACTTAGGATACCTTTCCAACCTGATTTCTCACTACCTTCCTATAGGTGCCTTATTCCCTAGAAAAACTGAATTGTGATCATACTTCAGTGCCTTTTCTTATATGGCTCCCAACAGCTGCAAACGTCACTTGCTTCACTGCTGTCAAAACTCCATATAGCTTTCAAAGTCAGCCCTCATTTCCGCTTCCCCCTCTCTCTTAACTACACACACACACACACACACACACACACACACACCACACGCACACACCCTGATCTGTAAATTGCCACCATAGCTCCTTTGCAACTTTTTGTGGTATTTGCCATATTCTGCTCTTTCTAACATAGATGATAGTATGTTTACTTATAACTTCTTTGAATGAAAGGACATTGCATTATTTATTTGTATCTCCTGAGAGATAATCATTAAATATTTAATTGAGTTTACCCATTCAGTATTCAGTGTTTCTCAATTAGGGGCAATTTTACCACCACCCCCCCCCCGAAATACTTGACAGTATCTGTGTAAACATCTTTTATTCATGCTATTGGCATCTAGTGGTAGAGGACAGAGGTGTTGCTAAACATCAACAGTGCACAGGAGAGTCCCTCATAATAAAGAGTTATCTGATCCAAAATGTGAATAGTATCAGGATTGGGAAACCCTGAAGTATAAGTGAACAGTATTATTTACCTTATTTTAAGGCATTCCTAGATTTACATCAACTTAGTGCTACCTATAATTATCAGGTGGGTATTTTTTTCCTTTTTAAAAATTATAAGACCATAGTGGATCAAAGGAATTTATTATTTCTAAATGACAGTCCTAGGGGCACCTGGGTAGCTCAGTTGGTTAAACATCTGCCTTCAGCTAAGGTCATGATCTTGGGGTCCTGGGATCAAGCCCTGCATCGGGCTCCCTGCTTAGTGGGGAATCTGCTTCTCCCTCTCTCTCAAATAGAGTCTAAAAAATAAATTGATAATAAAAAAATAAATGACAGTCCTAGAATAACTTATTCTTTTTTAAAAAAGATTTATTTATTTGAGAGAGAGAGAGAGACAATGCAAGGGTGGGGGGTGTGCAGAAGGAGAGGGAGAGACAGCCCTAAGTCAACTCCATGCTGAGGGCAGAGCCCAGTGCAGGGCTGTCTCCCAAGACCCTGAGCTCATGATGAGCCAAAACTAGGAGTCGGATGATTAACCGACTGCATCACCTAGGTGCCCCTAGAATAACTTATTCTTAATAGATTTTATTTTATTCCCTTAGCTATGTTTTCAAATAGTATGTGAGATTTTTATGTGTGGCCTGTACCAAAATATATTTAAGTTAAAGAAAATACTGTGCAAATAACCTGTGACTAGGCATTTTAAATAAAAATAGCAAATGGATCAGGTAAATGTATAATAATAGTAGGATCATTGAACTTAAGGATTATAAAGTATGTTTATAAAGAGAAAAAAAGTTACCTGCCATTTTTTTAATTCATGTTTTTGTTTGAGGTTTTTTTCTGTTTTATGTGTGGTTGAGGAATGAGTAATGACAGTTCGGTTCATTTTGAAATCTAGAAAGGACTTTTCCAAAATTATTATTCTCTAATTTTTAAATTATTGTCAGTAGTAGCCTGATAAATACATCTAATTTTTGCAGGTGAGCCACTCCGAACTTTTTAGAATTTTTAAGACATATTCTGGTTTTCCTGATATTTTTAAGTAACCATTCTCAAGGAATTCAAACCAGAAAAGAAATATCATTGTATATTTAGTTAGGATTTTACTTTAAGATTTTTGAAAACATTTTTTGCTTTATTTAATGAAATAATTTTATATATAGAAACCTTTTAAGGTAGAACCTTATTTAGATTATCACTGAAACAAGAGAACATCTCTAGATTAAATATTGTACTAGGCATCACATTGATGGAGAAAAAAGGAGAACTGAAAATTTGTATTAGCTCTGCTGACATAAAGATGAGGCATCTGTTGATTGAGAACCTTACACCTTAATGGTTAGGAGCACAGTTTAAATTCTGCTTCTCCTTGCTAGCTGACATGTCTTTAGCACATTACTCTAAGTGTCTGTTCTTCAGTAAAATGTCCACATCGTAAGTTTGGTGCAAGAAGTAAATAAGGGAAATGTACATATAAAGCACTCAGTCCAGTGTGTGCCACATGGTACATAGTTCTAACTGCAGCTTTTCTGTTTACTGTTCTACCTGAGCAACTTGCATTATAAAAGATGCCATTTTTTTTTACATATTTGCATGAAGTAAATCTGTTAAATCTCTATGGTAAAATGTATGTAATTTCTAAAAATATGGAGAAGAACATTGTATCTCTAAAGTTACAATATAAATTCAGATAATATATTATATGGACCTTCAGAGGATGTTATCTTTAAATTAAAAAAAATTAAAAAATTGTTTTCATTCCAAAGCTGTAAATATTTTTTTAAAGTTTTCATTATTGTGTTACTTTTGTTAAATTAATATTTTTCTTTTCCTGTTGTTAAAGATATCCTATATTTGAAAATCCCTATCCTTTGAGTATACATGAATCCCCTGTTACATGTTGCGAATATTTTGCTGATTGTCCTGTGGACCTTATTCCTGCACTTTATTCTGTTGGAGCTAGACAGAAACGGCAAGGTTACAGCAAAAAGGTATTGAACATGAGTTTTAGTATCTAATGTTACATTTCAGTATTTTATATTTATCACCTTGGAGTATTTGATAACATTGAAACCTTTTTTAGAGAAAATATATAGGAAGTCCTTTTTGGAAGCAAAATATGTCGTTTTCTGTTGTCATAGAAATATATATGGAGATGTATGGTATGCTTGGAATTTGCTTTATACAATAATCTTTTTTTACAGGAATGGCCCATTAATGGAGGTAATTGGGGCTTGGGTGTTCAAAGTTACCCAGAAATAATTATTACAGGGTAAGTAAGATCCTGTTTTGCCACTAAATCACTAATAGCTCAATATAATTAAGACTACATGAACATTAATTAATTGGGCAAGTAGTGCTTTCCTTTATGCTATAATGTATTAAGAAATGTTATTGTCCAGAACCTGCTAACTTACCCTGAATTTTACCTTTCTTCATTTGGTTGCTGTCTTTTCAAATAACAGTATACTTCAAAGAAAGAAAAAAGTGTGATGATTTTTTTCTTTTTTTTCTTCACAATTTTAACTCATTTGCTTTTCATAGGCATGCTGATGGGTCAGTTAAGTTCTGGGATGCTTCTGCAAGTAAGTATTTTGAATATTATTTGTTACATGTTATACAATCATTTCTTCTATACAACCTGTTTTATAATAATTGTGTAACCAACATTCAATTCAAAATTTGAAGGCTATAAATTTAATACATGATTTATCAAGTACATGAGTTTGAGAATTTCTAATAGATGTAAGATATTTTTAAGGATATTAACTAGTAAATTAAGAATGATTCTCAATAGAAGTAATCAAATCATTTGTTCAAAATTTCCTCAAACTTTCTCTTTAACTCAGAGATAAGAGAGGGAATATATTTCAAATCAACAGAAATTTGTAGAATAATTTTAATGCCTGATTCTAAGCTAACAGTAATTTGTGCTGTCTTTGTGGAATATACATATGGTGGCTACACAAGAGCAAAAAAGGAAAGATGCTTTGAATTGTCATGGCTTGCAAAACATACATAGTACGCAGTGAGAATCCAGTTAGCTCAGGATATTTTGTGTTTCATCACGTAGAAGTGTGAGATAGTAGTAGTACCTTTTATAGAGGAAATAAGTAGAAAATCTTTCAGAAAGCAAATATGTTATTATTTTCATTATATTTATACTTTTTTTTACAAAATCTTTTCATCATTTTTTTCAGGTTAACCAAATTCATCATCATGATGCGTGTTTTCTTTTTTTTAATGAATACAATTTTTTTGGTCAATAGGTACAGTGATTGCATTATCTAAAAGTGTAATAGAGAAATGCAGACCTGGAAATAAAAACATGGTTCAAATAAATATAGGCTGTTTTCCTTAGATAATTTGTCTGATTACATATTATTTTATATTTGTTCTATTTGTACTAAAGTATCTAACATATATTGTGTTTTTTTCTAGTAACTCTACAAGTATTATATAAACTAAAGACATCTAAAGTATTTGAAAAGTCAAGAAATAAAGATGACAGGCCAAACACAGACATTGTAGATGAAGATCCGTATGCCATTCAGATCATCTCCTGGTGTCCAGAAAGTAGAATGCTGTGCATAGCCGGAGTTTCAGCTCATGTTATTATTTATAGATTCAGCAAACAAGAAGTGATTACAGAAGTCATTCCGGTAATAGTCTCTTAATTATTTTCAGTGTCAGATGTCTGACATTTTAAAATTTTTGCATTATTTAGATTATCTGGAGTCAGTTTTATCTAGAATTTTTAAGAACACTTAAGTGTTTACATTGCCATCTATCTTTTGTGGAAAATAGCATACTTTTCCATATCTTTTTAGTGAGCATTTAAATTTAAATCCTTATATATACTATATATTTCACTTAAGGAAAGTTAATATGAATATAAGCATACTCTAATTTGGTATTAATAGGAATGCTGTAAATTCTAAAATCATTGTATGTGTGTGTTCTCACATACATACACACAATCATTTTTAAAAAGCTGAGTCAGAAACATGTTTTTTCTTTGCTAAATCTTTGCCTTTAGAAATCTTGTTACGTTTTTACCTTTAAAAATGTTGTTCCCAGGGCGCCTGGGTGGCTCAGTCAGTTAAGCATCTTCCTTAGGCTCAGGTCATGATCCCAGGGTTCTGGGATGGAGCCCCGCATAGGGCTCCCTGCTCCGCGGGAAGCCTGCTTCTCCCTCTCTCTCTGCCCCTCTCCCTGCTTGTGCACACTTGGCTCTCTCTCTATCTCTCTCTCTCTCTGTTGAATAAGTAAATAAAAATCTTTAAAAAAAAAAAAAAAGGAAAGTCCAACCTGCGCCGCTCCAACATGGCTACGCGGCTGTGCAGCATCTCTGCGGCGGCGCGGCGGCTGCTGGGGGGCCCAAGGCCCGGCGCCGTGGACATTGCGGCTGCTGCGCGCTTCTATTCCAAGGACAATGAAGGTAGCTGGTTCCGCTCCCTCTTTGTGCACAAGGTGGATCCCCGGAAGGATGCCCACTCCACCCTGCTATCCAAGAAGGAAACCAGCAATCTCTACAAGATCCAGTTTCACAATGTGAAGCCTGAGTGTCTGGATGCCTACAACAGCCTGACGGAGGCTGTGCTACCCAAACTGCACCTGGATGAAGACTACCCCTGCTCGCTCGTGGGCAACTGGAACACATGGTACGGGGAGCAGGACCAGGCAGTACACCTGTGGCGATTCTCAGGCGGCTACCCAGCCCTCACGGACTGCATGAACAAGCTCAAAAGCAATAAGGAGTACCTGGAGTTCCGAAAGGAGCGGAGCCAGATGCTGCTGTCCAGGAGAAACCAGATGCTCCTTGAGTTCAGCTTCTGGAACGAGCCACAGCCCAGAGCAGGCCCCAACATCTATGAGCTGAGGACATACAAGCTCAAGCCAGGAACCATGATTGAGTGGGGGGAAAAACTGGGCTCGGGCCATCAAGTACCGGCAAGAGAACCAGGAGGCGGTGGGCGGCTTCTTCTCGCAGATAGGAGAGCTCTACATTGTGCATCACCTCTGGGCCTATAAGGACCTACAGTCTCGGGAAGAGACTCGAAACGCTGCCTGGAGGAAGAGGGGCTGGGACGAAAACGTCTACTACACAGTCCCACTGGTGCGACACATGGAGTCTCGGATCATGATCCCATTGAAGATCTCGCCTCTCCAGTGATGCTGCTTCTGCCCCTGCCCCCTTCCCCTTCTCCCTCAGGGCAGCCATGGACAGAGGAGCTCCCAGTCCTGCTGTCTTGGTTTTTTCTCTTGGATCTGGGAGGACTCTGGGGGTTCGTGCTCAGCTCAGACAAGGGGAAGCTGAAGGATGACAGGGTTCTGAGGACTTGCAGCTCTGCCCAGACCCTTCCCACCTTCCCTGCTCACCCCTTCCCCTGTGCCAGAAGCAGTTTTTAATTTCTCTGAATGAAGAACAGCAGCCTTTTATGTCTTCTCACATTTCCCCCTGAGATTCCTCATCTCAAGGCCACGAGTCCCCAGTTGCCACCATGGAAGCCCTCTGTTTAGCTTTAGTTATACAAAAGGTAGTGTGTCAAGTGGTTAGAGAGGAGGTGGGAAGGGAGGAGGTCAGACCAGGCCTGGCTCTCTGGAATTCCCTGGTCTCTACTGGGCCACCCACTTGCTGGATCGTCTGAGCCAAGTCCCTCCTGTCAGGGAAAAGCCTAAAACTGCCTCAAGAAGAAAAGGGGAAAACCTTCAAGTTAGCACAGAGTGAGGTCCTACATATTCCACTTAGAAAGGCTGGGAAAAGGGATGGGAGCTGGGAAGGATCTGGGTCACAGAATGGGACATGAACCTAGAAGGTAGAACAGAATTCAGAACTTGGATTTGAACTGCAGAATTTGGAATATGGAATCAGGAATATAGAACAGAGGTTACAGAAGACCACCTGGGAAGGGGTTCTTAATACAAGACAGTTGGAAAGAGGCTCATCTCTTTCTCCCTACATGATATTGAGACCTTGACTGTTCAGTTTCAGCCCTTCTGTGTAGGGAGAATCTCCTGCCCTTTCTATTTCATTCCTGCAGGCGAAGTAAAGGGCCATGGCCTGTATTTCCCTCACCTTGCATTCCTTTTCTCTCTTCATATTCTATCAGCCCAACCCCCATTCTGCTGGGCCACTGGGTATGTGGATTGGGGTCAGTGACTTTGGGAGCCTCCTGGGTGATCTCTACACCTCGTGAACCTCTAGGTGGCTTGATTCTATCTCCCTTTGAGGAAAACTTGTGCTGGAGTCACTAATGGAACCAATTAAATATTTACTATAAAAAAAAAAAAAGGAAAGTGTTTCTTTAAAAAAATAATAAAAATGTTCCCACTGAAGCATATGTGGGTGTATTGTATAAACTGTATAAAATGAATAATTATTAAAAGTAGGTGAACTGTCTTTCTTTTACAACAGATGCTTGAAGTTCGATTGTTATATGAGATAAATGATGTGGAATCCCCAGAGGGCGAACAGGCACCGCCTTTGCCAACACCAGTTGGGGGCGCCACTCCTCAGCCCATTCCTCCTCAGTCTCATCCTTCTACCAGTAGCAGTTCATCTGATGGGCTTCGTGATAATGTCCCTTGTTTAAAGTAAGTTATTAAAAAATACAGATATTTTGGAAATTATTTTTTAATAGAGATAAATTATAAGCTTTTTACAGTAATATTTTCCTGTGATAGAGAAAAACGACATAAGATCATTTCTTTCTCACTTTTGCTGTGGTTAATCTAACTCATTTTTCTGTGGCATCAAGAGGAGTATTACTGCATTCGTGATTTTTATCTTTAAAATGCTAAGATTTGATCTTTAAACATACTGGTAGAAAAGCATGGATCTTTTCTGTATATGTAGCTCAATCTTCCAAATCCATGGATATTTTCTAGTCTGGATTCAGATGTAGATCAAATGTATATGTAGACTGCTCTCTACCACTCTGAAAATTCTGGTTTTTTGGTCTCTAGAGATTCAGTCATTTTTTTAATCATTTTCTCATCTTTCTGAATCTTCTCTAGCACAGCAGTATCATTATTTAAATGCCTTTATTGTAGCATTCCAGATTTGAATACAGTTTGCTTTTATACAGGAATAAATTGGATATAGCTTTCTTTTCCTTTTTTTCTATCTAATTTATATTACTGAGTTGTTAGATTTTTTTTTAATGGGTATGAGCCTTAAATATGGCAAAGAAATGAAACAGTGAGGAAAGAGCTAAGATCACTGAAAAATTTTATGAAGACTGTGATTAATTACATTTACAGAGAAGTCAATTAGGGTAATGACTGGAAACGTGGTTATTGAAAATGTCAAAGAAATTCAGTACAAGAGTTGAGCAAAAGCCAGATTAGTAGGTTCAAGGTAGGGAGGCCTGGTGAGAGAAAATTTGCATTTGTTAGAAGAACCAGGGTTTGTCCTGGTTTTGTTTTAGATCTGCTAGAGTCACTTCTCTTGGTGAATAATTAAAGGATTGCTGTGGAGAATGCCTGTGTAACTAAAATTGCATGGCAATCACCCCCAAAGATACGGCAGATTTTTTTATATCATAATCATTTAAAAAATATAGACTTTATGTTTTTGAAGATTTTTGTTTATTTATTAGAGTGTGAGGAGCACCAGTTGAGGAAGGGGAGAGGCAGAGGAAGAAATAACAAAGATCAAAGAAGGGATCCTGAGCAGGGAGCCTGACACGGGGCTTGATCCCAGGACCCCAGGACGAGGACCTTAGCTGAAGGCAGCTGCTTAAACGACTGAACCACCCAGGCACCCCAAAAAGTGTAGACTTTTTAGAAAATAAACCTTTATATGTTTATATAAATTTGAGGTTGTATGTTCTATATTAGTATTTCTCAAACAGGGATGATTTTGCTCCTCCCTATTTATTTGGCAATATCTGGAGACGTTATTAGTTGTCGCAACAGTAGGAATAGGGTGCTACTGGTATCTCGTGCATAGGGGCCAGGGATGATGCTCAAGTGCACAGAACAGTGCCCCACAACAAAGAACTTCCCAGGTCAGAATGCCACTGGTACCAACAATGAGAAATTCTGGTCTGATCTAAAAAATGTAAGTATTGGGGCGCCTGGGTGGCTCAGTTGGTTAAGCAACTGCCTTCGGCTCAGGTCATGATCCTGGAGTCCCGGGATCGAGTCCCACATCGGGCTCCCTGCTCGACAGGGAGTCTGCTTCTCCCTCTGACCCTCCTCCCTCTCATGCTCTCTGTCTCTCATTCTCTCTGTCTCAAATAAATAAATAAAATCTTAAAAAATAAAAAAATAAAAAATGTAAGTATTGAGATTAAGCAACTACATTCCTCAGAAAGGTCTCAAGGTTTTATTTTGTCTCTCTCATGTACATACATACACACCCCTCTGTTTGCAACAGTTCTGGCACATGTTTAGCTAGAATGAAACTTGAAAATACAGAATTCTGCCTTCTTCCCTTCTGTTACTTATTCAGTACTACTTTGCTTTAAGCTTAAATTTGTAAAATTTCATTAATGCTCTTCTGATTTTTTTTTATTTTAATTGTATTTTTCTCCAGCCTTCTGTTAAATTTACGTCTTATAGCCTATGAAGAACAGTTTGTGTTTGACGTTTATTTTAGTGATGTCTCTTCGGTGGCAAAGTTTTGAGATTTTTTTGTCTAAAATTGATATATTCACCAGTGACTTTTTAATCACAGACAATTTGAGTTATACCTCATTTTTTTCCTTCTTAATAGTTTTCTGGTAAATACGGTTATTTATTAACTTCACATTGTTTTAATCCACAGTCCCAAAAACCAATTTTTAAATGTCAGAAATATAACCAAATTGATATTAAAATAACTAGTACTGAGGGTTTTTTTATACAGAATGCTTTCATATGTAATTATTCCTTTGAAGAAACATTTTAAAAGCAGCTATGTGATTTATTCTTTTTACCAGTAAAGTTTTATGTTTTTAAGTATCTTAATTGGGCTTTTGCAGTTTATTTGTCCAAACAGACAAACATTTTGAAACTGCAAAGCCTGGACAAACATATGTTTAAAAATGCATTTGTACAAATTACAGAGTTTTTTTGTTTGTTTTTATTAAATTATGAAGCTTTTTATAAAGGTCCAGCCCCTTGTCTTTAAAAAGTAAAACCTTAATTTACATTTACTAAAAACATTAAAATAATTTGCATGTAAACATTGTACACATAAAACATTACGCCCACCCATCCCCCATTTTGCATTTTTAACCTATCCTGTCATTTCTTGATCCAGTTTCTAGTTTTTTACCAATTGGGGATTATGCAGCAGGCTTGGCTGGCTTATTTTTGCTTAAGAACTTTTTTTTTGTTTCTTCTTACTAAGTAAATTAAGAATTCCATGAGTTCTTTTTTTTTTTTTTAATTTTATTTATTTATTTGATAGAGAAAACAAGAGAGCACAAGCAGGGTGAGTGGCAGAGGGAAAGGGAGAAGCAGGCTCCCTGCTGAGCAGGGAGCTAGATGCAGAACTGGATCCCCAGAACCCTGAGATCATGACCTGAGCCTGAAGGCAGCCGTTTAACCAAATGAGCCACCCAGGCGCCCCCCATGAGTTCTGTGTGTCTTCATCACTGAAGTTTTAAATTTGTCCATATACGTACTTCTAATATTTTCCTTGAATGCTTGTTCCTGCTCTAGTCTAATGTGCATGTTAAATATGCCGAAAGAAGGTGGACATTTCTTTGAACCTTACCTAATTCATGTAAGGAGAAAATAACACAGTCAGCCTCTTCTTTTCAGAAGAACACTCGGTCTTCATTTCCGTCTCTTGAGATGGACAGCTGCCACTGATTAGTGGTATTTCCCTGAGGAAAAAACAGAACTTCTGCTCAGCCAACATACAGTTCTGAGTGTGCTGCCTTTCAGACTTGGCGTGAAATGACTGTAACTCAGTTTGTATTTGGAGTACCCTAATGTGTACCCTAAAATTTGGACAACACATTTGGTCAGGTGTCATGGTCTTCCTCACTAGAAGTACCAACTAACTGACTCAAAAGCATCCATACTTCTGAGTTTGGTGTCAGGAGATTTAACATTGAGTAGTCTTCCTGCTATCCTTCTTTCATGACACTGTCACCCCAGAGCAGAGCCTTAAGAATTATTGAAGTAAGCGGGCTTTGCGTAAGTTTTACAAGAGCGATTATTAGAGAAAGAGTCTGAGCAATCAAAAATGTTTTTACCTTAAAGTCAAAGTAAAATTTTTTTAATAGTAAAAGTAGTCACACACAGAAATACACTACTCACTTTAATTTTAATTGATTTTTTTTAAGGATTTTATTTATTTATTTGACAGAGACACAGTGAGAGAGGGAACACAAGCAGGGGGAGTGGGAGAGGGAGAAGCAGGCTTCCCGCGGAGCAGGGAGCCCAATGTGGGGCTCGATCCCAGGACCCTGAGAACATGACCTGAGCTGAAGGCAGCCGCTTAACCGACTGAGCCACCCAGGTGCCCCTTAATTTTAATTGATTTAATTAATAAATTAAAAAAGGAAAATTTTATCTTCCAAATCCACTTAAAGTTTCCTGATACAAGTATTATAGGTGTTATATCTAAGTGGCTGTATTCCAGGGTGCCTGGGTGGCTCAGTCGGTTAAGTGCCTGCCTTTGGCTCAGGTCAGGCTCGCTGCTCAGTGGGGAGCCTGCTTCTCCCTCATCCTCTGCCTCTGCCCCCGCTGTGTGCTCCCTTGCGCTGGTGCACACACTCTCTTTCTTTCTCTCTGTCAAATAAATAAAAAAATTAATAAATAAATCTTTTAAAAAAATAAGTGGTTGTATTCCTTAGAAAGTCTCACATTCTTATAAGCCCCTCCCTCACTCCCCCTAATATGTACATAACAAGTTTAACTAATAAAAAATTTGTATGAATTTACTCAATTAAGGGAGTTTGGGAATACATTTATCTTTTTGCTGAGTAGTTCACTTGAAAACCACATATTCCTGCAAAACTAGCTCTTCATCCTGACAGTTTTCTTTTTTCTTTTTTTATCTTTCTCTCTTTCTCTCTATCTTTTTCTTTCTCTTTCTTTCTCTCTCTTTCTCTTCTTAACTTAGAATGACTGTCTAATTTTTCTCCCTGATCTTCCTCTAATGACCCTTCAGCTCATTCATTCATTCAAATATTGAGTACCTCCTCTGTACTGGAGTGTTAAAAGTAACTGCAAGGTTTGTGCCTTCGTGAAGTTTAGAAGCATTTTTGATTCTTACTTCATAATGTGTTTCAAATCTACCTTTTTCTTATTGTTTTACATAATTACAGGCACTTCTTAATTGTTCTCCTATTCTACTTCATCTTGCAAACCTCCACCAAATTAATCTTTCCAAAGTATTTCTTATAAACCTTAATTGGCTTTTAATTCCTTAAAATAATGAAAATATTTGTGTAAATTGACCAT